AGACTCTCTTAACTGGAACAAAAGGAAGTCGGGGAGACCAGACTGAGGTCTATGAAGAGAGAGAAAATGGAGTTTTATTTTATTTATTTTTTGCCATAGCAGAATTCGAAGTCTTCTGGAAATGCAGCACAAGGAGGCCGAAGGAAACCATGGAACACTAGAGCAGTGTTTCTCAGCCTTGGCCGCTCAAAGATGGGCGGACTTCAACTCCCAGAATTCCCCAGCCAGCCAGAATCCCATGGATCAGTGTTTCTCAACCTTGGCGACTTTAAGACCCGTGGACTTCAACTGGCTGGCTGGGGAATTCTGGGAGTTGAAGTCCGCCCATCTTCGAGCGGCCAAGGCTGAGAAACACTGCACTGGAGTATCTCCGGAGTATCTCTGACTCTCCAGCCCTGTTCAAAGACCTCTGAGGAGGGAGAGCCCGCCAGGCCATGGGGCAGCTGGGTTAGGTTGGCTCTTTGGCGGCCCATCTTCCGCCTGGTGCTCAGAAGTGCCTTCGCCCCCAAAGCCACCCTCCCCTCCGGTGAAGGGAAAGGCAGGTGAGGCACCTCCACCTGAGGACCTGGGCCCCAGAACATCTGCCCCCAAAGAAGCCGAAGGAACCTCCATGTCCAGGAGCAGCGCTGGCCGGTCCTTCCAAAGCAGCCACAGACTCAACAAGCGGGAAGGGGCCCTTGAGATCTTCCGGTCCAACCCTAACCTCCCCCCCCCCAGCTCAGTTCAGGAATCCGAATTCAGGCAGCCCTGAGAGAGGACCATCTACTTCCCCCTGAACCCCTCTGGGGAAGGGGAGCCCAGCATCTCTCGGGGTCGCTCTTAGGGACGTTTCCTGTGAAATGAGCTTCCTTCATTTAATGGGAACCTGAAATCCTGTGACTTAAATCCACTATTCTGTGTCCTGCACCATCGGACGAGAAGAAGGGCCTTACGTTTCTCCTGGGTGACATCTTTTCATGCACCTGACGAGTGCAGTCCTGTCCTCACCCGGTATACGTACATACCCGGCTCCGTCAATCCCGATCCACAGGACGTAGGTTTCTAGTCCCCTGGTTGCCTTCTCTGCCTTGCTCTTAACTTGTTCCACTTTCTCTGAATCCTCCTTAAAAGGCAGCGCCCAGAACCGGACTCATTCCTTGAGCAAGGGGTCCCCGCAAAGCAGAATTCATTACTGAACAATTGCTTCTTGGGTTTGAGAAATTATGCTTCTGGGGCTGCAACCTCAAATTGCATTTGCTTCTTTTGCCGCCGCATCACGCTGCAGGCTTGCATTCCGCTTGCAATTAACTACTTTTCCGTGATCTTTCTCAAAAGCATTGTTACTGTGTCTGAATATTAGCCATCCTATATTGGATAACCGATAACGCCAGATGTGGCCAAATTTGGCCAGGATTTCCTGGTTCTGTTTTATACCCAGTCAGGGTACAAGAAACATTGCTCAGCCTCAAGATCTTCCCTAGACGAATCCCTCCGTTTTCGAGTCCAATATAAAGGGGACAGAAGCAAAGCAAGTTCTCGAAGTAAACGCTGCTGTGCAAAAATGACTTTTCCCCTTCTTCACGCTTTGAAAACAAAACCACCCTCTCCTCTTGATTACACATTCCTGTTCATTCTTCCTCCCTACAGAAGTTCTTTGCCTCGCTTGCTTAAAATGCGAGCGATTTAATTTCTGGCAGGCTCTGTCAGTTACTTCGCCTGCTTGAAGAGAAGAAGCAGGAACCGGTTCCTCGGAAGGAGCAGGCTTTGCAATTAAGCGCCTCGTCACAATGCGCCTAATGTGATTAAAAACATCAAAGGTCCCATTGTTGGGTGCTATTCAGTTGAAATTGTGAGGCTGGGGTTTCCTCCTCCATAGTCCTAATTTCTTGGGGGGTGGGGGAAAGGATGACGGCATTGGTTCAATGCTTTGCTTGATTTCTTCACTTTTTTTCCCCTTCAGCCATTCCTTGAATGGCAGGACATTCCTAGATCTGGTGTAGGTTATTTTCTGATTTTCTGTGCAACAGGCCTCATACCCCACAGGTTGAATAAATGGAAAAAAGCAAGGCTCTGACGTCTCTAGGCCTGGTTTAATGCAGAATTAGAAGCAAGTACAGGTAGTCCTCACTTAATGACCATTTGTTTAGTGACTGTTCAAAGTTACAACGGTGCTGAACAAAGGGACTTACAACCGGTCCTCACATTTACGACCGTCACAGCACCCCCGCGGTCACATGATTGTGATCTGGGCGCTTGGCAACCAGCTTGTACTTACGACGGTTGCAGCATCCCGGGGTCACGTGATCGCCATTTGTGACCTTCCCAACTGGCTTGTGGCATGCCAAATGAATGGGGAACCGTGTGATTGGCTTAATTTCTCTTTGCTGATTTCTCTTTGCTTAGAAAGTATTGCTTTGGGTTAACTGCAGTTTAGTATTACTGTATGTAGCTGCCCAAAGCTGTGGTTTATATTAACGATGGCTTACTGAAACGAGGCAGCTTAATCAGTCAAGGTTTAACAACCGCTACTTAGGACAAAGTTTGTCTGGATTTGCGTGCAACGTTGAACTGATGTCGAAGTTGGAGGTAAACATCACAAAATCAACCATTATAATTGATCGTTTATTGTAAGGTATGAAAAGTTTGGGAAACTGTTTCCTAGAAACTCTAAACCTAATCTTCCCCTTTCTTTCACAGATCAGATTCAAGTGTCAAAATATTTTGCTATTTTTGTTTTTTGGGCCCCTACTCAAGTTGGCATTTTTATGGCGGTGTGCCCAGCTTTGTCTAAAGACATCTAAGTTCAGGGTGTGCCACCTGCTCTGCCACATGATGAAATCATTATTGTGGCTGAGTGTGACGCGTGAAGCCAGCTGTTGTGTCTTGCGAACCACATTTAAGGATTAGCCTCAGGTGTGAACGCAGCAGGCTGTAGTTTATTCAAGTAACCATGGCGTGATGTGTGAGAGAATGAAATTTAACGGAGAAAAGTCCCTAAGGAAACAAAAATCAGATGCAGAGGTTAAGCGTGGGGGATACCTGGTTCGGTACAGTATTTGCCAAAAAAGATCTTTGAATAGTAGCTAATTG